GCAGGCAAAAATCACAACATACCAACATCTATAATGAGGGGGTGGGGGCTAAAAAAAAAAAATCAAAAAAGAAATATGTTGTCATTTTTGTCAGCATTTGGATATGTTCTTCTGTTTTGTATTTCAAGTGATATTGCACTAAATAAATTAGCACTTTTTGTTTAGCTTTTCAGCTGAAGTGCGGTATGACTGTTGACTCAATTTCTCTTGGCATTTTACAGCTTAATGTAGTGGTTCTGGTGTCTGTAGCCTGTCCCTGCAGGCTTTTCAATTTAAACACTGCCTTTTCTCTTTCTATGAAAAGGCAGTGTTTACATTTCTGCATAGAAACACCTCTAGTGGCAGTTACTCAGACCACCACTAGAGGTGCTTCCTGTGTCAGTGCTGAACGCTCCCCATAGAGATACATTGATTCAGTTCATCCGTATACGTAAAGGCTGATTTGCGCAGTGTGTCGCCTTGCTGCACATGCGTAATAGCCTCCCAATGCTTTTGATGATCTCAGCCATGAATGCGGGGCCAGCCACAGCGAGACCAGCGAGGGAGAATAGGTAAGTAAAATCACCTTTTAAGTTGAAAGAAGGGGGCAGACACCTAAACAGTTTAACACTGTAGTGTTAGGAATACAGTTTTGTATTCCTGACACTGTAGTGTTACTTTAAATAACACCATTGAGATACTAGTCATGCATGAGCCAGGAGATTATTATATAGATTTTTATTTTTATTTTTTTATATATTGATTTTTTTTCTCTACAAATATGAGCCATTTCTGTATTAGTGTATATTCATTTTGTAAAATTAATAATTTATTTGTATAATCTCTTGTTTAGTGCAAATACATGTGGGGATTTTATTTTATTATTTTGACATTGGCTTCACGAAGCTGCTACATTGAACTAATTGTGCTCAATCCTTCCTGTTCAGGACTGGAACACTTTCCTCTTAAGGTTTAACAACCTGGATCTGTGTATATCTGAGAATGAAACTTTGAAGCATCTCCTCAATGATACTACCCCTCCTGAGAGTACAGTGACTACCGGCCAGGCGAGGTCATCCACTCAGACACCACAGGCATTAGAAGATTCTGGACCCATAAATATCTCTGTAGCCGTTACACTGACTTTGGATCCTTTAAAGCCCTTTGGAGGGTTATCTCGTAACGTAACACACCTGAGTTCCACAATTTTTGGCCACCAAATTGGTCTTTCAGGTATCCATGAAATGATGTTGCCAGCTTCCTTTTTCTTCATTGGCAAAAGCAAAAAGAGATGATTTAGTTTTAGTTGATGGGAATGAGAAAAGGGTTCCCCTCAATGTCTGGCTGGCTGAGCATGATGACATAAGGAGTGTGGAACAGCTGAACTCTAAAGGTTGTTTATTTTCTTTCCACACTGTAGTGTACGTGTTTCTGTAGTATATGGCTGCTGTGCTATTCGAACAATTGACCAAGAGCTATTTCCATAAATTCTCATCTCACCAAGCACACTGATTTTTTTTATACCAGAAAAATGCACACTGCATTGATTAATTACCCATTCATTTGCTTATTTTAATCCAGCGCCGGGCTCCCTCGGCACTGGTGACCTCTCCTCCTCCATCGACGTGAGCTCCCGAGTGGAACCGAATGCGCATGCGTGACCAGAGGAGCGCGAGCATTCAAACCCGCCCATAGGAAAGCATTACTCAGTGCTTTCTTATGGGGATCTTTTTTGACACTGGAGGTCCGCGAGGGCGTCCAGCGTCAAATAAGTGCGATTCACTCAGTTTAAATCGCGGAAGCACCTCTAGTGGCGGTCAGGAAGACAGCCACTAGTGGCTGGATTAACCCTGCAGTGTAAGAATAGCAGTTTCTATGAAACTGCTATGTTTTCAGCTGCAGGGTTATAACCAGGGGACCTGGCACCCAGACCACTTAATTGAGCTGAAGTGGTCTGGGTGCCTATAGTGGTCCTTTAAGTGAAAATAAAAGAATAAGCTGGAGTAGAGAAAGCCAAATGGCGGAAACAAAAAAAAAATAAAAAAAAAAATACTGAAAACTAAAAATGAATCTAAATAATATTTAACCTCTAAATCACCATGCTTTCTCTTACATAGAATTTCAGTATAAAACATTTTTTTTTTATTTTTTTTTTTTTAACTTGTTTAAAATGTTGTCACTTTGTCATAGTGTCAGTTTGATCAGTGTTTTCTTTTCCCTTCTAAGGCAGAGACTCCCATGAGGAGATGAATATTACTTTCACTCTGCCAGCTGCATGGAACTCCGATGACTGTATACTCCATGGGCGCTGTGAGCAGGTGGGATTTACCACATGTATGACCGTAACGGCAGCGAGCAGCGTGTTTCCAGTTACACTGTAAGTAGCTCATAAACTGAAGCCAAATGTACATTTTATAGTTCAGCTGTCAATAAATTTAGTATACCTTTTTTTTTTTTTCCCTCTTCTCCCCTTAGTCAGCCGCCACATTGCATTCCTGAAACATACAGTAATGCCACTCTGTGGTACAAAATCTTCACCACCGCTCGTGACTCGAGGACAAAGTATGCACAAGATTATAACCCATTCTGGTGTTATAAGGGAGCCATTGGAAAAGTGTACCATACTTTAAATCCCAAACTCACAGTCATTGTTCCAGAGGTGAGATTCTTCTATTACAAATTAAGCTTTCCCTTTTACCATTCCTAATGAACATACATTTCTGAATATACTTTTCTTTTCTGCTTTCCTGCAATAGCAGGTTTCATTCTATTGTTAATTTGTATTGCCCGAGTCATACCCTTTTCTGTTCTCAATCTTCAAGCCTTTTCTTAAGTTCCTGCATCAATCATTTTACCCTTGTCAGTGATTAGAGTTTGTGGACTTCTCTCAAACTGTCAACACCACAGGGATGTCTGTGTGACAAAATTCTCAAGATTGCTTTATGAATATTCCCATCTGCCACATTAAACCCTTTTCCTGATCAAACATGGAAGCATTTCATTGTGGGCAAGCGCATACCCTCACAGCAGAGAAATTGGTATAATTTTATCCACACCCTCCCTATCAGCAGTCTTTTTTTAATGTATTTTTTTTTCCCTTTCCTTGACAGCAGTTTGGAAGGAGTCTGCCTAGATTTTATTGTTAAACCAGGCCAATATTTATGTAGGCCAAGCCAGGGCTCATGTTTGTAAGAGTTGTCGCCCCTTTTAGTGACCCAGGGGGTCTAACATAATTCTTTCCCTGAGGAGATGACAGTGGTCCACTGGAAATATGACGCTAAGCCAAACTCCCTGAAGACCCAGTAAACCACATGTCCATAAGGTACCTTGCTGTGCCTCTTTTTTGTATATACATTTTCCATTAGTGGTGACGACGAATGGCATATGGGGTTTATAAGGAAGCCCCTAGTTTAATCAGTTTAGTTTGTGAGTTGTTCAAATCCCTGTTTGCTTTTGATATACAGTACTTCATCTGTCTCCATGGCTGTTTAGTTTGTTATTCCTTTCTCAAGTTATTGCATTAGTAGTTTAGCTTACTTACTAGTATAAGTACCTGTTCGAAGGAAGCAACTAACAGAAGCTGAAAAAAAACTAACCAATAGGTCACATTTAAGAGGTTTTTGGTGAGCATTTAGGCAAGGTTATAAGAGTGCTCTAATGGATATACTGGCTGTGTCTGAATACCACAGTGCTAGAGGTTGAGAAGAGGGCAATACCCACAATAAGAGCTTTCCTGGGTCACTAATTTAAGTAATTCAAGAAGCCTGCTTATGTGCATTTTTTTGCACATAAGCAGTCTTCTTTCAGAGAAAGGAAAAGAATACATTTTCAGGATCGTCTTACTTATGTAAATCTGCGTATGAGACCAAGATCGCCTCTTTGTATAATCTGGTGTGAAGACAGTCTCCGTATATGTGATATGTGATATTCTCTCTGTGTATCAGATGGTGTGAAGCTCAGCTGTAGTATATATATCCATTATAAGATTTGTATGAGCTTGAGAGAAGATATGAACTTGGTATATTGCACGGTTGTCAAACCTTTTGCTTTCCTGGGCCGCATTGAGCGCAGAGGAATTGTCTTTGGCATATAACCTTTTCCTAAATTTGTTAGCCTTGTGTGGGGTTGATATATTTAAGCATTCCAACTTAGGGAGCTATCTCCTAAACACATACACATGTGTATACATATGCACTCACACACACAATCACAGACCCACATGGGGACACCCACACGGACGGACGGACGGACGGACACACATACATAAATGCAAGCAACATACATGCAATCACTGACTTACATACAGACCCCTCCATCTCTCCTCACTCTATACATCTATAAACACACACACTCACTGACAAAACATACACAAAAATTACATTCATACACATTTAGTACTTAAGAGGTCCACCCAGCCTCCCTACCTTGCTCTGGGAGGGCTGGAATGGATCCACTGTCCCTGGTGGCTAGCAGTTGGTGCCGGTCTGGGATCTCTGTGGTCTTCCTGCACAGGTCCCTCGTGCGCCCGGCAGTGATGCAGCGTGACTGCCGGGATGACGTCATATACCGGAGGCCGGCTCTCTTCAGGGCACACGAGGAGCTGTCCAGGAGGAGCAGAGAATGTAAAGGGCTCCCTGCCTCGACGCCAAGCAGGGTGGACGGCAACTGGGCCACACTGCTAGCGTTCCTGAACCACATGCGGGCCGCGGGTTAGACACCCCTGGTATATATGAATGATGGATGCTCTATGTATAAGTAGGTGTAAAGACACACCAGTACATGAGTCCAATATAATCTCTGGTGTGAAGACAAAAACTTAATTGTGTATATATCCAATACAAGTTCTGTGTATGAGATGCTGTTAAGTCACAGCATTCGTTTATCTGACGGATATTTTAATGTTTGAGCTAATGTGGCGCCGCACTTTATAACTGATATTGTATCTGTATAATCTCTTAACACACAGACTTGATATGTATGAATGATAGTCTCGCTCTCTCTATATATCTATATCTATCCCAATATCTGAAGTGCATGTTAAAGGGTACTTGTCATGACAAACACACCTTAAGATGTCCTAAAGGCATCTAAATGAAGGGGACTGGATGCCATGTCCCTGTCTGTTTTAAACCAGTAGTGTCAAAAATTGCCACTCTGCAGCATTTCTGGACAACATTTTAATCAGATGGTCTCATAGACACTTTCCCTTTCCTCTCAGTCAGTTCAGTCTATGCTGATCAGCACAGATAACAGACATGCAGAGCATGGTCTTATATCAGATAAACCTTCCTCTGGGTGTCTCACCTGCTTGAATTTAGCACAAGGCAAATTAATGCCTTCAAGGGAGGAGGGACAGGCTCGGTGAGAGAGCAGCACTGACAGAGGAGAGAAAAAGCCAGAATGATGTATTGCAGCAGCTTTGGACAGGCAATTTGAGAAGATAACATAAGTGTTATTTATTTTACACCAATTCATACATACAGTATATATCACACAGCCAACATAACGTTTTGGGGACTTTTAACCTGTTATTGGAAGCAAGTCTGTGTTTCCCAAACAGGGATTTTCAGTAGAGGGATGACTTGCAGCAAGTGTAACACAGACGGAAAACATGATTAATTGGTCTCGGCCGGAGACATGGTAATAAATTTAAAGTGTGAACTGTAAATAGTGTTAAAGGGACACTCCACTGCCTAAATACAAATAAAATAAATATCACAGTAGATATACCCAAATGTAAATGGGCATGCATTTTATTATGCATGTTTTTCATTGGGGTTATGCCTAAAAACGACTTGCTTTTGCAAGCCGTTTTTAGACATAACCCCAATGAAAAACATGTTCTTTTGTAACCAGGTTAATTTATAAAAGTTTCAATTTCTATTGATATCTGCATTTTTTGCAAAAGGAAAATAGGATACACTTCACACACAAAGCTTTTCAGCAAGCTAAAGTTCTTTAGGGGTCTGGAGTGTGCCTGTTATGGCAAAAAACTATTGTATAAAATGAGTCAAGTCAAGTGGCTAGAAAACCTTTACCTGTCATTATCAAGATTATATAATTCCCATATATTGAAGTTTCTTAAAGTAAACCTGTGTATTTGTTTTGTGTTTGAGTTGTGAAGCTAATTACAAAGACAATCTAATTACACCAATTTCCACACTATATTTCTTGTCCTTTTTGCTGTGAGGGGACGATTAACCCATAAGTAAATGCTGCAAAGTATAATTATCAGGAAAAGAAAACTCCTGTGTGAAACGATTTTCCTTAATATGTTCTAACATTCTTTCCATTATTGTAAAATCCCCCTTTTACTCACTTCCTTTTCACAGCTCTTTTTTTTTACTTATTTATTTATTTAAAGGGCACTGTAAGCACCAAAACCACTACAGCTTAATATCGTGGTTTTGTAAACTGTGCCTTTACGTGTTGGTATCTCTAATGGTGGAGTGCTCCTTTTACCACTGCATCTGCATTTCTTAGAAGATTGGATATTCCCTTTAGTCATCTCGTCCAGCTTTAGAAAAGCAGGAACAGAGAGTTCTGTGTATATGGCTGCACTTGCAGTGTCTCAGATTCACAGAATTAGTTCCAGACAAACTAATGGAAAGCTAAATTCACCTTTCCTGGTTAAAGATTTTATTTGTGTTAGGCTTCTCATTCCCATGTTTACTCCTTGCTTTTCTGTTTGCTGTCCATCTGTCTTCCATACATACATGCATGTATGTTTATATCCATTTTTGTCCAAATTGTCATTTCCTCTGATATATTGAAATGGTTTATTTTATGTTTCATTTGCAATTATTCATTTTTCTCGGTAAATGCTAGTGAATTCTCTAAATCTCCGTGGTCACAACCAGCATATTTATCTTTGACTAGAGAAGCTTTTCAGTGTAGGCATGCCCAGTGAATTCCTAGAAGTGATAGCATTACATGCTAAGATTTTTAGATGCTGTTTTTTTGGTTTTTTTTCTTCCTTAACAGGATGACCGCTCCCTTATAAATCTGCATCTGATGGATACAAGTTACTTCCTGTTTGTGATGGTTATCACCATGTTCTGCTATGCTGTGATCAGAGGAAGACCAAGCAAAATAAGACAAAGCAACTCTGAGTTTTCTCCAGAAAAGGTTGGAAACTACCACTATAGGACTTAATTGTATTTTAAAGGGAAATCTGTGACCTGCATTATTTCCTCAGCTGTAGTTATTGTCTTGGTAGAAGTGATCATGTCACTTAAACAGAGCCGAAGACCAGTTAGGAAAATGGTTCAGAGTTGATTTGTGACTTCTGGGAACTAAATGGTTCATATAATCTATATTCAGGATATCCAACTATAGGACCTGCAGATAAAAAACAAAAAAACTGGCTGTGTATCACTGAGCAAAGTATTAGCCTGGAAATGTTGGGTTTCTGTAGCTGTACTTTAACACAGTCCGCTGCCACCTCCTCCTCCCACTTTCCCCCCTCAAAAAATGTCACTGTGTAAGGGGATTACATTAAAAAAAAAATACATGTGTGCATTTGTTCACAAGTGCTTATGTATACAAACATAGTAACCAAGGTTAGAAAAAAGACTTGAGTTCAAGCTTCCACATTTTTGTTTCTGCAGTTTTTCCAAGAGAGGGTAAACAATCAAATTTGAACAGATTGCCAAACATGTTACAAACTGGAACAGTAGTAAATATGTTACTGCCTGGAGAAAAATTTACATCACAGCCATTCATGGTTGATCTATAATATTACTTTACTATAAAATTCACAAATACATTACTTTAATATCAGACAACTATATTTTATTCCGTAATAACACAAAAACTCATTTCTTTATGGTTCTTTGTTATAAGGTGTCATAGACACTGTTAAAAGATTTAAAGTGATCGAAAAACATTTTACCCAGTACACAACAGTAATGTATGCTTTATACCACCTATTTGATGTCCTTTTCTCTACCTTTGTATAGGTAACGATTTTCTTTAATGCTGCGGGTTTATTTTTGTTAAAAACTGTCCTGCAATATGCGGTTAATTGTAGAGTGGACCTTTCATGGGTTATTGCAGTGACTCGTAAGCTTTGTAATACTGGTCACTTGTCGATTTCATTCATTTTAAACCATTTTATACTTTTAATTAAGGAAAGTTACATTTTTGCAGAGATGGTAGTGAATACTAGCTTTTCACCTGCAAATTTCACTTCTGTCTCACTGCTTACAGAAATGACAGGGTATTATTTAAGATTCTGCACAGTGCAAACATATACTGCCTTGCATTTATGTTTGACAGGCATGCAGCAATAACATCACTTGCATTGGCTCTTGTGCTTGGATGTAATGGCATCAACACGCACATACGTGCCCTCAGTCAGTACAAAGGGATATAAAAAGGCTTTGCATTATTACACATGCGCAATGGATGCCAGGTCATCACAATAACATTTGAAACAGGAGAATGAATAGAGATGGGCTAATTTCCATTTAATTTGCCTCTGCAAAGTTTTAACTGGAACATTGATAAATGTTTTGAATGCTTAAACAAATAAATATTGCAGAAATGTATGTATTTAAGCCCCTAGTGACCAGGCCATTTTTAAATTTTCTTACCGTTAAGGACCAGGGCTGTTTTTACATTTCTGCGGTGTTTTGTTTCTCTTAGTCACTTACTGTACCCACACATATTATTATATACCATTTTCACACCATTAAATGGTCTTTCTAAAGATACCGTTATTTTCATCATACCATATAATTTACTATTAAAAAAAAAATTATAAAATCTGAAACACACTTTCTAACTTTGACCCCCAAAATCTTTTACGCATCTACAACCGGCAAAAAAAACACCCATGCTAAATAGTTTTTAAATTTTGTCCTACGTTTAGAAATACCCAATGTTAACATGTTCTTAGCTATTTTTATTTTTTTGCAAGTTATAGGGAAATAAGTACAAGTAGTAGTTGCTAGTTCCAAAACTTTTTCCCCCCCAAAATTAACAAAAGTTACATTGTAACACCGATATCTGTCAGGAATCCCTGAATAACCCCTTTTTAAAAAAAAAAAAAAAAGACAACCTAAGGTATTAAGCTTGGGGTATTTTTACTCTTTTTATGCAATCATTTTACCACCAATCTATGCCAAATTTAAAAAAAATAAAAATAATTGGTGGTTTGTTTTTTATTTTATTTTTTGTAAATCTTGTTTATTGAGTCATAAATGTCAGCAAAAGTTAGGCTCGCTAGCCAGCAAAGGGTACAAAGTTAACAATATTAGTCATAAAGGGAAATCATCAAGCGTAAATGCAATATAATAATGGCGTAACAATTCACACTAAGACCGTAAACTCTAATAACTGATCAGTGTATAAGTTCTGTGTTCCCTTTCCGTCTTTGGAAAGATGTAGGTGAGCTTTGCCCTAGAGTGATGTATCAGTGTATGTGAGTATGTGTGCGTGTGTACTCGCAGGATACAGCAACTCTTGGTGTTTACACAGCGAAAGGATGGGGCCTATCAGCCTCAGATATGATCTAGGGTGTCTAATAATAAATTGTCACAATATAAGGTATAGAGTAGGCTACCCAGTAGCGTATCAGAGTGGAAATGACCCACAAGTCCTGTTAATAACTCCATATTGGCTCAAGCGAGTGGAGATAGGGTGGTGAAGTACGAAATCCTTCCCGTCATGGTGACATGTACGTAACCTTTTCTGTTCCCTGGGGTGTGTGTTTGAGGAGCTTCTGCCTGTTTTAGGGTGCTTAGGTGCCCCTTTCTCCATAAATCATTATCTGAGCGCTTATCACTCCGAGGTCAGGATTCCTCTGCTCACTGCTTACTTGTGCATATACATGCTATATGTAGCCCATTTCTTGTACAAGGCGCCTACCTCTTCTCCGCGACAGGTACTTATAGCAGAGCTCGAGTATTGTACACGATTCACTACCCCCACCCTCACCCTGTGTTTAGCTAGTGCGTGTTGTCGTCAATGTTCTGCCGAGGGTAAGTGTCCCTGTTATGTCTACTTGTGGTGAGCGCATGTCAATCTTATTGTCGTGGGGTCAGTGTGGTGAATTAGGTCCCAGCTAGCCTGTCAAGCAGCCAGGTCAAGAAGGCTCCCTGACGATTGCACGGATGGTCAGGATCTACCGTCTTTTGTCAAGTCCTAGTCTTTGTGTCCCCGTCCGTTGACGTCGTCACTCAGTAGTCTAGTTATGTGTTGTCTATCTGTCCTGTATTTGGTCCATCCGGCCCCGCTCCCGGGCACACCGGCCCCGATGATCTATAAGATGGAGGGGAAAGAGAAGGGATTAAGGGGAGAGGAGCATTGGTACCCGAACCGCGGTTCCCTAAGCATTCATCTCTTGCCGGTACCTGGCAATATATAAAAACCAGGGCGGGTTTGTTTTTTATTGACACACATAGCAATTTAAGAATACATGTACTGAGAACTTTAAGGGTTACTTCCAAAGAACACCTCCCGATATGTGTTCAGCAACATTTCCTGAGTACAGTGAAACCCCCGAGGAATAGGTGTGTCTGGTTCGCTGGGGGCTAAAAGACCTTATTTGGAGGGTGCACATTCCAGTTTTCCAACGTGGAATTTTCTCAGCTGGTCATTACGCACCCATGTCCTATTTGGGACATTTTTGAAGCCGGCCAATGTAATTTACCCCCATCAAACCATATATTTTTGAAAAGTAGATACCCTAGGGTATTTCAAATGGTGGTATTTTAACACTTTCCATGTACTAATTCTACCACCAGTCTTTGTCAAATTTTGGGGTAGTCATTTTTTTTGTTATTTTTCCTCTCACATTGTACTTTAGGCATGGATTCTCAGTTCCTGTTATGTGTTACTGACAAATACCCCAATATGTATTCATCAACATCTCCTGTGTACAACAGTACCCCCAATGTACAGGTTTTATGGGTTTTTGCAAACTTACAGGGGTCAAATGTAGGCCTTTCCCATGTTTGCAAATTGAAATTTGCCTGATTGCTTTGCTGGGCTTATGTTGCCTTTGAGACCGTATGGCAGCCCAGGAATGAAAATTAACCCCATTATATCATTTGTAAAAGGAGAAAACCTACGGTATTAAAAATGGGGTATGTCCAGTCTTTTTTAGTATCCACCTAGTCGCAAACCCTGGCCAAAATGAGTATTTATATTGTTTTTGGTGTTTTTTTTGCATTTTTCACACACAAATTGCCATTTCACTGATGATATCAGCAGTAGAATACATTTTACTGCTCTAAAACACTCATATTTGTGTAGAGTAATGTCTCATGAGCAAAACAGTACCTCTTAAGTACAGGTTTTATGGTAATTTGGAAATTACAGGGTCAAACATAAGATTTGCAAATTTCTGTTTTTGTAAATTGCTATTTGCCAGATTGGCTATGTTGCTTTGAGATGATATGGCAGCCCAGAAATTAAAATCAATATGTCAATATGTCATGGAAGGATTTTCCATGACATACCATTTGAAAAAGTAGACAACTCAGGGTATTCAAAATGGGATATGTCCAGTCTTTTGTAGTAGCCACTTTGCCACAAACGCTTGCCAATGTTAGCGTTCATATTTGTTTTTTGCATTTTTTACACCAATAACTGCACTTTTACTGGTGATATCGTTGTGAAAAGTTTTATTTTTTAAAACACTCATTTTTGTGTTCAGCGAAGTCTCCCAAGTATAACAATACTCCCATGTACAGGTTTTATGGTGTTTTTGAAAGTTACAGGGTCAGTATAGGGCATGCCCAATTCAGTTTGCCAGATTGGTTTGCTGGGTCTGTGTTGCCTTTTGAGACCATATGGTAGCCCAGGAATGTGAAATAACCTAATCATGGCATACCATTTTCAAATGTAGATGTCCAGTCTTTTGCCACTTAGTCACGATCGCTGACAAAAGTTAGCATTTTTTTTTTCCATTTAAAAAAACAAAACACTGCACTTTTACTGGTGATATCTTCATGATAAGTTTTACTTTTTAAAACACTCATATTTGTGTTCAGCAAAGTCTCCAGAGTATAACAATACCCCCCATGTAAAGGCTTTATGATGTTTAGGAAAGTTACAGAGTTAAATATGGGGCTTGCCAATTCAATTCTCTGCACTGTCTGCCTGAGTTGTCAGGCAGGTCCTTCAAATTATAACTAATAAAATCAAATAAGTATGTGTGTGTGTGTGTGTGTATGTATGTATGTATGTATGTATGTACACATACAGTCAGGTCCATAAATATTGGGACATCGACACAGTTCTAATCTTTTTGGCTCTATACACCACCACAATGGATTTGAAATGAACAAGATGTGATTTAACTGCAGACTTTGAGCTTTAATTTGAGTGTATTTACATCCAAATTAGATGAACGGTGTAGGAATTACAACAGTTTGTATATGTGCCTCCCACTTTTCAAGGGACCAAAAGTAATGGGACAATTGGCTGCTTAGCTGTTCCATGGCCAGGTGTGTTATTCCCTCATTATCCCATTTACAAGGAGCAGATAAAAGGTCCAGAGTTCATTTCAAGTGTGCTATTTGCATTTGGAATCTGTTGCTGTCAACTCTCAATATGAGATCCAAAGAGCTGTCACTATCAGTGAAGCAAGCCATCATTAGGCTGAAAAAACAAAACAAAGAGATCTCAGAGAGATAGAAAAAACATTAGGTGTGGCCAAATCAACTGTTTGGAACATCTTAAAAAGAAAGAACGCACCGGTGAGCTTAGCAACACCAAAAGACCCGGAAGACCACAGAAAACAACTGTGGTGGATGACCGAAGAATTCTTTCCCTGGTGAAGAAAACACCCTTCACAACAGTTGACCAGATCAAGAACACTCTCCTAGAGGTAGGTGTATGTGTGTCAAAGTCAACAATCAAGAGAAGACTTCACCAGAGTGAATACAGAGGGTTCACCACAAGATTTAAACCATTGGTGAGCCTCAAAAACAGGAAGGCCAGATTAGAGTTTGCGAAACATCATCTAAAAAAGCCTTCACAGTTCTGGAACAACATCCTATGGACAGATGAGACCAAGATCAACTTTTACCAGAGTGATGGGAAGAGAAGAGTATGGAGAAGGAAAGGAACTGCTCATGATCCAAAGCATGCCACCTCAGTAGAGGCATGGTGGTGGTAATGTCATGGCATGGGCATGTATGGCTGCCAATGGAACTGGTTTTCTTGTATTTATTGATGATGTGACTGCTGACAAAAGCAGCAGGATGAATTCTGAAGTGTTTCAGGCAATATTATCTGCTCATATTCAGCCAAATGCTTCAGAACTCATTGGACGGCGCTTCACAGTGCAGATGGACAATGACCCGAAGCATACTGCAAAAGCAACCAATGAGTTTTTTAAGGGAAATAAGTGGAATGTTATGCAATGGCCAAGTCAATCACCTGACCTGAATCCGATTGAGCATGCATTTCACTTGATGAAGACAAAACTGAAGGGAAAATGCCCCAAGAACAAGCAGGAACTGAAGACAATTGCAGTAGAGGCCTGGCAGAGCATCACCAGGGATGAAACCCAGCGTCTGGTGATGTCTATGCGTTCCAGACTTCAGGCTGTAATTGACTGCAAAGGATTTGCAACCATGTATTAAAAAGTGAAAGTTTGATTTATGACTGTTAATCTGTCCCATTACTTTTGGTCCCTTAAAAATTGGGAGGCACATATACAAACTGTTGTATTCCTACACCGTTCACCTGATTTGGATGTAAATATCCTCAAATTAAAGTTGAAAGTCTGCAGTTAAAGCACATCTTGTTTGTTTCATTTCAAACCCATTGTGTTGGTGTATAAAGCCAAAAAGATCAGAATTGTGTCGATGTCCCAATATTTATGGACCTGACTGTGTATATATATTGTGTGTGTGTGTGTGTGTGTGTGTGTATGTATCTTAGCTTGACGTTTGCTTGAAGTACCTCATAAACTTGCATTTGTTTGAGACTTTCATGAAGTAATTCAGGATTTGTAAAATACTTAAAGGAACATGCCAATGGAGTACTTATACCACCAATGAAAACATCTATACTTATTTAACTGCACAATCCAGAACACATGAATGTTCATTTACCTCACAGGTGGAATTCTAAGGTTTTTTTTATTTTTTGTCTTTACAGGTTGCACTGTCTGATGCATAACCTTCTCAACTCTATCTTGAATAGATGCAATTGGAGTCATAGCCTGTTGACCCCACCAAGAGAATGTGTCTTGTGTTCTTCTGAAGAGGAGAGAAGAACACACAACCTTGCAACGTTGGTTCGATCCAACCAAAGACATTTCAAGTGCCTGTAATTGTTTTGTACATATTTATAAATAGGTACATTTAAAGAGGCTCGGTGCATACTTCCTGCATTGCAGGATCTTGTATTTTAATCCATTGTACCTGTGGACTAGCTGTCTTTTTCTTGTATAGATATGTCTAGTGGCTATGTCTAGTTGGCAATGAGGGTTGTCCATTCATGCGTGTGTAATGAAGATTGAAGCAATGTCTTTCACTTAATGTTTTGCGCAAAACTGCACTTTCTTGTACCTTGCTAAAATAAACCTAGCATCTGTTTGAATGAAGGGTAAACTGCTATAACTGAGGAGTCCTCTATTCTTGCAATGTGAAGCATTTTTATTTTAATTTTTTTCCCTTTAATCAAAATTTTGCTTTGGGGTCAGCACGATAAGAGTCAAGTAATACACATATCTTCCAAAGCATGTCATTTTGACAGAATTTCCATGCTAGTAGATCCACATACTAATGTGTTACACCTCTCAACATATGGGTATATTGGTTTAACCTTTTGTTTGCGATGAATGAGCATGGCATTGCACTCAAAATGTTAGATTAGAATATGTGGTGAGCTCCACAGTCTCCTATATTGTTTCCACAGTCACAACCTGCCACCTCTTTAGCTACTGAGATGGACAGGGGTACGTTTGGACTGTAGAAGTCCAAAATGACATCTTCAAGACCTGCACTCTTTACATCTATTTTGGGTACAATGGTAACACCAATCCTTTTTAAGAAAAAAAAAAAAAACCTATAAGACTGTACAAAAGAAAAAGCTACTTATTGGATCTCTTGTGTTTATTACATATATTTTTGTATTTGTCAATAATCTGCCTAAGTTAATTTTTTGGAAGGCGATTACAGTGAGGTCTTAGGTTTAAGTGTTAGAACATACAATGCCATTAAACCGGCATTAACTCATTTTATATAAATGAGACATGAGGTTTTAAAAAAAACAACACAATTGTTTTGTTTGAATATTTTTTTTTGACTTTGAGTGGTTGGGGGAATTCTTCTGTTCTTTGATTGTGATCTTTATTTCTAGATTGGAGATTTGCCATAATTCAGCTGTTGCCCATTTCACAATTCAAATCAATACATGTAATTTAGTTTAAATAAATAACAGATCTATTTCTTGACAAAAAACAGCTGCTTCTATATCCTCCATATTTAGAATTATATTTTTAAATGTGGATTGCTAGAAACAATGTCATTCTGGTTTATATGGAATGCTTTTTGGCTTTCTAAATAAAGCTCTCCCTGGTACTGTGGCATTGGACTGTTGTGAAAAAGCAATGTATATAGATTTAGTGTATATAAACAAATGGATTTTCATATCCTGCATAAACATCTTTCAGCAATTGTGCACTGATATGAGACACAACGCCGCAAACTCTCTAAAAATGATCATAAATATGAGTTTGAAAACGTAAATGTAGATTTTAGTGCTTTTTACTAGCATTGTACAATTACAATAACTAACAAATATCAGACAGTAAAATCAGGGAGTGGAGAGTACTGTATGTAGAGGTAAAAATTCCCCCTCCCCCTTTCTACTCTTACAACCTCTGTTTTCAATACTTCTGTAAGGTTTAGTAAAATCCTCCTCCAGGAACATGATCCAAACCAAAACTGTAGTTTTCCATAGGCCTCTTACTTAAAGTAGACCAAGACCTTCGAGTGGACAACACAGAAAAAATGGCCAGAAAACAAAGTTGCTGTTTGTAGGAAGGAAGCAAACTGGTCAATAACTATGAGGCAGCTACATTAGCCTCATACATTTAAAATGTGTCGAACACTGTAAAATGTAATTAACCAAAAAAAAGAAAATTGGGTTAAGTACAACTTATATCTTTTGTCCAACACGGATGTTGATTCCTTTTTATGCTCTTTCATCACCAGGAAAGCATTTGGTTGGAGAGGAAATATGACATTTCCATCAGGAATCTTGGTGAATGGATGGGCTGATTAAAATATAGAATAGCTACATAAAAAGCTACCAGTCTTTCCTCCACAGTATTTTTTTCATAAAAAAAAACAAAAAAAAACATGCAGCTAGCCCTGTCGCTGTATTATTGCTTAAGATGTTTTCTACACCACACTCATAATTTCTCTGGCAATTATTGCTTAGAGAAAGTTAGCAGTATTGCTACATCTTTCTGTCACCTTCCAGCTGTCAGATATAAAATGGCCTATTGGTGTTGCTCAGCCCATTACTGGCCACCCAATACTAGTAATTATAGACACATTTAACCTGTACTCTTGATGGTAGTCAGTGATAGGTTCAGAGTGATGAAGTGATTATGAGCGTGTTCCTTTTAAGGGACTGTAAAAGGCACCCAGACCCATATATCTCAATGATGTTGTCAGGGTGCAGTGGACCTTCATTTTAACTGCAATGTAAAACATTGCCTTTTTTGTAGAAACAACAATTTTTTTTTCAACTGCTGGGTTAAACACACTTCTCTAGTGGCTGTTTTCCCATGAGAACAACAATCACTCATTCTCTGTTTCTATTAAGATGTAGTAGTTTTGTTATTTAGAGTGTCCCTTAAAAATCTTTTGACACTTAAACAGATACTATAGGCACCAAAATAACTTAAACTTAATGAAGCAGTTTTGGTGTATTGATCATGCCTCTGCAATCTCCCTGCTCAACTTACTGTCATTAAATTGTTTATACAGCACTAGTCAATCCTCCCTGCTGGTGACTTGCACAGCCTTCTTTACACTTCGTGTAAAGGAAGCTAGACTTGATAGGTTCGCTTCTTGCACAGTCTGTTTAAACTAGATTTTCTGATCTCCTCTGTTTATGGCCTACAGGAGCCTCTTGTGTGTGATTAAACCTAAATTACAGAGCTGGAAATAAAAACTTGTAAAATTGACATTTGATTTAAAAATTAAACTGGCTGTGTCAGTCACAACCAGAGAAGTTGTGGCTAGGATTACATAAACAATGTGATTTAGCTCCAGGGCCGGACTGGGGATACAAAGCAGCCCTGGAAAAAAAATTTGTGCCAGCCCCATAAGTCACTGCGCCATATATTGTCGCGTGTAATATGTAAGGCTATGTCTTGCCAGGACAGATAATTGAGTAATATATATATATATATATATATATATATATATATATATATATATATTGCTTTTTCTAATATAAAATATTGGTCCTTTCAGGGTAAAACGTTTAATTATACAGTAAGCATACGCACATGCAGACACAGGCAATTTCACTGACATTTCAGTGACACACACAAGCTCATTGATACACAGCCTCATAGACAAACAATCTTACTGATATACATCAGCTCATTGACATAAAAACACAAGCTCACTCACTAGCAGGCACACGCATGCAAGCAAGCTCACTCACTAGCAGACGCACACACAGCTTAATGTGGTGGTACTGGTGTCTATAGCATGTCGCTACAGGCTTTTCAACGTAAACACTGACTTTTCAGACAAAAGGCAGTGTTTACATTGCTTCAAAGTGACATTGCTAGTGACAGTCACTCAGACGGTCACTAGAGGTGCTTCCTGTGTTAGTGCCCTCCCGCCCTCGCGCGCTGCTGAATGAGACTGGCGCCGGAATATGACGTCATATTCCGGCGCCGGTCTCATTCAGCTGCGTGCTGGGGAGCAGAGCCAGCGCAGCTCGCGCAGCTCCCTCAGCGGCCGCCAGGACAAGTCCGCCAGCGGCCGCCAAAAGACCTCCCCAGCGGCCAGGGGAGGGCTGGCAGCCTTAGGCCTGGGGGGCAAAACCAGTCAAGTAGACTGGTGCACCTGCCCAGGATCAGAGCCGGTGCAAGGATTTTTGCCGCCCTAGACAAAATAAAAATTTGCTGCCCCCACATGTCACATCACAATGCCCCACCCATATGATCTGCCATATGAACTAACGCCAGTGCTGCACACAGTGTGTGTTTACATTAAAAAGCCTGCAGGGACCAGCTATAGACACCAGAACCACTTCATTAAGCTATAGTGTCCCTTTAATGTGAGGTAAATTATAGATTAGTGTCACTAATAATATACTAGATTGCCTACTTACAAGCAGATGAGGATGATGATGGGCTGCAGTTTGGCTCCACTGGTCTGGTGTAGAACAGGATCTCTGGAGGCTGTTTGCAACTGTGGTCACAAAATTCAATGTTCTGGGAGAATTGGAAGCAGCTCAATTTTTTGGGGCCCCTTACACAGCTCAAGGTCTGGGCCCCAGGGCCTGACGGTGAGTATGCCCATAAGGCCCACTCATAAGTTCCACCCACCCATGAGTTCGCTCACAGGGAGTGGAGTGTGTAGGGGATGTGTTATGTGTTATTGTAGAGGATCTAATATGTGTGCTTATGGTATGTAGTGTTTAGGGTTACCAGTTTGTGCAGGTGATGCAGTGTGTTTGTGTGTAGTGGAAGCAGTGTGTATTTGTGTATAAGGGATGTATTATGTGTTTCTGGTTGTGTGTAAGGGATGCATTGTGTGAATCTGTGTTTGTATGCATAAGGGATGCAAGGTGTGTGTCTGTATGTGTGTGCATGAGATGCATTGTGTTTCTGTGTGTATGTAAGAAAAGAAGTGTGTGTGTTTGCATGCGTGTGTACGGGTTTGCATTGTCTGTTTCTGTGTATGTGTGCAAAGGATGGATTGTCTTTGTGTGTAAGGGTTGCATTGTGTGTGTGTGTGTAATGGATGCATTGTGTGTTTCTCTGTGTGTAAGGGAAGCATGTTGTGTTTCTGTGTATGTATAGGGATGCATTGTGTGTGTGTGCGCGCGCGTAGTGTGAAAGAGCTCCCTGTCTTGGCCCCTGTCCTACAGAGCTGCCCCTTCTTCTTATTCCCCTCCCTCCCCTCTTCTTATTCCCCTCCCTCCCCCTCTTCTTATTCCCCCACCTCTTCTTATTCCCCTCCCTCCCCTCTTCTTATTCCCCCCTCCCCTCTTTTTATTCCCTCCCTGCCCTCTTTTTATTCCCTCCCCTCTTCTTATTCCCCCCTCAATCTTATTCCCCCTCCTCTTTTTATTCCCCCCCTCCCCTCTTCTTATCCCTCCTCCCCTCTTCTTGTTCCCCCCCACCTCCCCTCATCTTCTTCCCTCCTCTCTTCTTATTCCCCCCCTCCCCTCATCTTATTTCCCCCCCCCTCCCCTCATCTTATTCCCCCTCCTCTTCTTATTCCCGCCCTCGCTCTTCTTCCCCCCTCATCTTGTTCCCCCTCCCCTCTTTTTATTCCCCCTCCTCTCTTCTTATTCCCCTCCCTCCCCTCATCTTATTCCCCCCCTCCCCTCTTTTTATTCCCTCCCTCCCCTCTTTTTATTCCCTCCCTCCCCTCTTCTTATCCCTCCCCCCCTCTTCTTATTCCCCCCTCCCCTTTTTATTCCCTCCCTCCCCTCTTCTTATTCCCCGCCCTCCACTCTTCTTATTCCCCCCTCATCTTATTCCCCCCCTCCCCTCTTTTTATTCCCCCCTCCCCTCTTCTTATCCCTCCCTCCCCTCTTCTTATTCCCCCCCTCCCCTCATCTTATTCCCCC